CATTACTATATCACAATTAGCCAAATCCATGTACCACTTTGAGGTCAAAGTTTTGGAGAAAAATCTTCCCTAGGAGCTCCATGAAAATGGATATTTTCTGGTAACCTATCTTCTCTGAGTGGTTCTTTTAGAAGGTTGAGTTTAAAAAAGCATCTTCCTCCTTTGATCCCTCGCAGACTACTTCTGATTTATCATTTCATAAAAGGCCAATCTTTCTCTTCTGGACACAGAAACTCCACTCTCAAGGCAAAGTTCAAACACATTGTAAACAAGCATCTTCAGAGCTTGGTGGGGGGCCAGTAGTGGGAGTCCCCTTTTGCTAAGGTTGCTACAGAAGGGAATTCCCCAACTGCTGAGCAGTCTACTAAATGCTTACAGGATCTGTAAGTATTCTTCTGTGTTGTTAGCCCAAGTCAGTTTTTAGACTCATGTAACAAGCATTAAAAATATTGCTTTCAATCTAATTTCACAGCTACAATGGATCTGTGCATTCTTGTATTTATTAAATCAAGTAATCGAGTAATTATTGAGTGCTACACACAATTATTTGAGTTAAATATTTATATATAAATTCATTTCTGGGTTGAGGAAGAATGGTAAGGGAGATTAAATGATTTGTTCAGCATCACAAAAATAGTAATATCAGGATGAACTAGGTAACACAGTGACAAAATGTTAGCCATGCTGTTATAGGGCAGGATCAGGGGCACCCCAGGACCCCCAAATCTGCCTGCTCTAAATAAGTTCTGCATCTGCCACATCAAGACAAAACATACTCTAGTGCACAAGACCTTCAATGGAAAGGAAACATTAGTGTGCTATAAAGAGAAGAGAAAGGATATCGTTTCCAAATAAAGCACCCAAAGTTACCCATCCCCTCGTGGTAAATGCCCAGCCAAATGGGGTTGTCCTGAAGCAGGATTGTAGCCCAACAGGTAGCCACAAGTCTAAGGAAGCTTCTAATGAGGAACCACGGGATAGGGACAGAAGTAGTCAGGCAAGTCTGGGATGAAGCAGCAAAATCAAGAAACAAGAGACCCCACGGGTCTTTCACCCACATCATTATCTCTTTCAAATGTCTCCTTCTGTGTCCCCCAAGTCCAGTATAAGTTCAAAGCTGAGAACCAAGTGCAGCTTCTTCACATGTCTTTCTGCTCCAGGTGCCTCCTGCAGATCTTTTTCTTGATTGCCTTCTTTCCTTCTTCCAGTCTTTTCTAGTTTCCCCTCCCAGATCAGCTCCACCCTTTTTTGGATGGGGCAGGGAACCTGGGACCTTCCCTCTCTATGACTGTCACACGGTTACAGTGCCTTCCAGTGGTTTAATGTAATAAAGATGTATTTCCGTATCATGCTGCACTATCAAAGCAGAGCAGAGGCAGGCGTCTTTCTACAGTCACTCAAGGATACTGGCCAAGGGAGACACTGACACTTCAACATGAGTTTCCAGGGAAAGGGTGAGACAGAGAATCACAGTGACTTTTCACTGACTCAGCTTCAATGGAAGCAACACAGTTATTTCCATTCACATTTCTTTGGCCAAGGCAAGTCAAAATGACCTGCCTGTTGCAAGAACTTACAGGAATTTGGTTTCTCATTAAGTTCAAGAAGGAACTGGATATGCAGTATTTATTTTTTTATTTATTTTAAGATTTATATATTTATTTATACAAGCAAAGGGTGCAGTCAGAAGCGCGGGAGGGTGAGAGAATTCACCAGAGCCAGAGCGGGGAGCAGAGCAGGCAGAAGGACCGAAGTACACTGCTGAGGGGAGCAGCGGGCAGCAGAGGAGGTCTGCGCGCCATGTGGGACCCTCCTCCAGTGGCCGGGGAGCAGCCGGGGATCGAACTGGCACTGCGGAGGCTTCGGGCAGCTTCGCAACCCAGCGCTCAACCGCTGTGCCACCGGGGAGGCCCTGGATATGCAGTATTTATTTCAGTACATTTATGATACTAACAGCACATAGACAGATCTAAGAGTAGAAAAGATGAAAAACTGTTACCCAGTCTGAATAAAAGTAAAATACAACGAATTATTTGACACTCCATAAATTTCTCCTCAGATCAAAATATGTTGATCATTTTTCCACATATTATTGACACATAATAAATTAATTTTTTTCATACCCTATTGGTCAAGATTCTCTAAAGAAAAAAACCAACGGGGGCCTCCCTGGTGGCACAGGGGTTGGGACGCAATCTATGAAGTGGTCTGCAGCCACTGCAGCATGAGTTCGAATCCCGGCCTGCCAAGGAGAAACCCACATGGCAGGACAGACCTCTCCTGTCTTGCCCATTGCTCCCTTCAGCAGTGTACTTTGGTCTATCTGCCTGTTCTTTTCTCCGCTCTGTCTCTAGTGAATCCTCTCACCCCCCACATCTCTGGCCTGTAACCCCAATTCTTGTATAAAAATAAATAAATCTTTAAAAAAAAACAACAATAGGATGTATGTATGTGTATATGCATATATATGTATATATTATAGAGAGATTTATTTTAAGGAGTTAGTTTGTGGTTTTTGATGCTGGCAAATCCAAAACCTGCAGGGTGGGCTGGCAGGCTGGAGATGCAGAGAATATTTGATGCCGTAGTTCAAGTGTGCAGGCCATTTGTTGCAGAGTTCCCTCTTGATCAGAGCTTGTCAGTCTTTGATTCTATTCACAACTTCACCTTAGTGGATGAAGCCATTGCCAATGGAAGGCCATCTACTTTATTCAAAGTTACTGATTTAAATGTTAATCTCATCCAAAAAAACACTTTCACAAAAATATTTATAATAGTCTTTGACCACATATCTGGACATCATGACCCAGCCAAGTTGACACATGAAATTAACCATCACACATCCTCAACTCTAAATCCATTAGTAACGAGAGCAAGGAAAATGAACTTGCCCTTAAGACCAATGCCTCAGCATGAAATATTCTATTATAACCACAACTGAATTTGTGATTCCTAAGAATCAATGCTTTTAGTAACAATCCCTTTATAGTGATGACAAAATAGTGTCTTACAAATAGTAAGCTCACAAATGAAGTCTAAAATCTGATAGTGTTTTTTTATCCTGATTAGTTTAGTAAATTCCTTCATAACATTAGTTTTCTTTGAGGATTATAAATTACTAAACTATTATAATCTTCTGTAAAGATTTTCTTTCATCAGAAAATATTTCTACCCACCCAATTTTAAAATATGTATTAAATTACATTTCTCTCACTGCTATGAATTAGGTTATTAGAATCTAATAGCATGTTAAAAAGTAGGAAATGTATTATTACCCAAAAAAGTTATCCAACTTTTATTTAGCAGAATAAAGGAAGAAATTATCAACTATCACATAATAGTTGAAATGGAGGGCTTCATGAATTATGTCCTTCAATAGATTTGTTTGATAAGGAACACTGGTAAAGTACTTACTCTCTCTGAATTTCTGAATTAATAAAATAAGTGTAATGATGTTGTCATCTATTTCTAGATCATCGGATTAGGATTAACAAATTAAGGTTGGTAACTTGTTTTGAGAATCTCTGATTAAGGGCATTGAGTAAGATAGTGGTTAGCTAAGCACAATTACAATCCACTCATACACATCAACATAAAACACACACTTAAAACATACACGTCTGTGTATGTATGTGTCCTAATGGCTTCCACTGTTCCCTGGAGTATCTGGAGCAGGGTATAGGACTGATCTCCCCATAAAAGGGTTAGTTTGGCTTTTTCCAAGATGCCTAGAGTAGGCCTTTCCCATTATGTGTCACTTTGCATGAGAAACTGTGGTCAATCAAACCTTCTGAGCCTCAGGGGAAATTGATACCATTCCTTAGAGAATGCAGAACACCTCTTGCCTTAGGCATATCTCCAGTAACAACCTTGTTAGCAGAGAAACCTCTCTTTTATTTCATTAATTTTGAAAATTTTTCTTACATTACTGTTTATTTTTGTATAATATTTGATTTCTCCCCTCATGTGTAGTCCCCATAATTCTTCCACCATCACAGTACTCATGACCATCACCATAGTCCCTTGTCATGTCCTGGTGGCTATAATGCCTTGTTCTTGGTCATATTAAAATTATGCTCATGAAGTGAATTACTAGTTTTGTTAATATTATCAATTAAAAAAAACTACTTGCTTTTAAATATAAAATGTGGGCCTCCCTGGTGGCACAAGGGGTTAAGCACAGCACTATGAAGCAATCCACAGCCTCTGCAGCACGAGTTCAATCCCCTGCCGGCCAGGGAGCAACCTACATGGCGCAGCAGACCTCTCCTGCCTTGCCCGCTGCTCCCCTCAGCAGTGTATTTCAGACAGTCTGCCTGTTCTGTTCCCTACTCTGTCTCTAGTGTGTCCTCTCACCCGCCCTCATCTCTGGCCTGTACCCCAGCTCTTGTATGCATAAATAAACAAATCTTTAAAAAAAATACATAAAATGTCAAAATATACTGCTATAATAGTGACTTCTATTTCCTGTAATTATGTTAACTAAATTAATATTTTCCATAATAAATATGATATATATGAATTTATGTGTGTATACGTGTATATAGAGCTCTCTATCTATCATCTATCCATGTATGCACAACTGGGGATAATATTGCCTTCCAGGGCACATTTGACAAAACCTAGAGAGATTTTTGGTTGTCATGATTTGCAATAGGCTCTGCAATTTGCATCTAGAAAGTAGAGGTCAGGAATGGTTCTGACCATCATACAAGGCAGGGGACCACTCCAGAAAAAAAACACATCTGAATTAAAGCATCAGTGTTGCTATTTTTGAAAAACCCTGGGTTGATATTGAGGGGAGAAGGAAATTGAGTCATGCAAAGACAAGTTAGTAAACTAGTTCTTCAAAGAAAGAATATGCATAACAGAAATCACACTTTCCTAGAATAAGCAATTCCAGTGCTTATGAAAGCAATTCCACTGCATGTTTTGTTTGTTTGTTTTAAATGTTTCCCCTCAGTAACACTGGTGGCAGTTCCCTTCATCGCTGTCTATACCTTTAGGAGCAGGAGTGAGGTTCATGTTGGCTGAGGGCAAGTATTATCTCTGTAGCAATTACAAAGGTGCTTTTGCCCAGAATGAAGACTAAGGACAAGCTCAAAAAATTTGACTTAAAAGAGTTAAATCCCAGGCCTCCGTGGTGGTGCAGGGGTTGAAGACACAGCACTATCAAGCTATCGCCAACCACTGCAGCAGGAGTTCTATTCCAGGCTGGCCAGGGAGTTGACCCACATGGTGCAGCAGACCTCTCCTGTCTTGCCTACTGATCCCCTCAGCAGTATATTTCAGTCAATCTGCCTGTTCTGCTCCCCACTGTTTGTGGTGAATCCTCACCCCCCATACCTCTGGCTTACACCCCAGTTCTTGTATGCATACATAAATCTTTTTAAAAAAGAGTTAAATCCCCCTATCACTTGATTCTGCAACCTACAAGTACATCATGCATCTAAAAAAGCAGTGACCAGTGTGAGGAAATGATTGCCTGATGGAGACTGCAATTTGCAAGAAAACACAGGAGGTCCAGGCCCACCTTGGTAGAGCATATGAGGTTTGCATATCTACTTTCCCCTCATCTCTGTGAACATGAACAAAAAACATTAAATAAGCGTACAGAGGCAGTGGATTCAGTGTAAGTAAATAGGCCCAAATGAATGGAGAAGAATAATAATTTTTAAAAAATCATAAGGATCATTTAAAATTTTTTGTAGTCCAAGGCAAGACTTTAAGTGTATTAGAAGCCAAATAATAAATTATGTTTGGCTGACTTTGCATATTTTTCCATACCCTATGCAAATAATAACTGAAATTATGCTAATATAATATGTTACAGCAATCTTAACTTAATCTTAAAGCAAGAGGAAAATGCTGAAAACTTGTTTATCACTAACCCTGCTGACACTGAATCTGAACTAAATTAATTTTTCTACCTTTAATAAATTAGTGAGACAAACATCAAATATATCTCACTGTGGGAGTAAGGTTAAAATGTTATTATGACTACTGTGAAATAAAATATCTTCATCCAAAATATGTGAATAAATACAGGTAAATCTCCTAGATCCATGCCTGCTATACAATAAACACTCAGTAAATCTAAGCTACTATTTTTATGAAGGCTAGCACTGAATGTAATAAGACACCTTTCACTTGACCAAATAAAAAAGTACAGTATTCTAAGTATAAAGGTCTTAATGTTGCTGATTCTGAACATTAGGGATATATAGGTGAAGGAAAAGCTCCATACTTACAGGAGGATATATTCCCGAGATACCAATACCAAGAATAGCAATGCACAATTATCATTCTATTTGTCCAGCCAACGTTCTTCAAGCAATCCCCTTTCAAAGCCAGAAAAAGAAAAACTAATCTGAATAGGAACGGAAAACTGAGTAACAAAAATCAGTGACACATGCATCTCCCAGCAAGAACAGATGGGCTGACAGTTCTTAGCCATGTTAGAACTACGGAAGGAAGGCATGTATTGAGTATAGCTAATCGGGTGAATATTGTATTCATTTTCACAGAAAAAGTAGTTCCATTGAAAAATATTGTTTTGCTGATGATAAGCATCAGTAACTTAAGGCCAGCAAGGGATTTAGAAAAAAAAAAATGTAGTATCTTGTTTTAAAATAATCCTTTCCACAATGCAACAAATTCTCACCTTCCAATGAGAGGAGATAGCTCATTTTTCAACTCTCCTGAGAGCTCTTGTACATACTCTTATAGGAATTCAGAACAATACTTGAGAGACAAAGGACACTATTAAATCATTTGTTGTATTTTTTTTCCTAAAGGGAATAAAATGAGGGATTAGAAAATGTCAACAAGAATTTTTGGAAACTCTCCTATTTCATAAGTTGACATTTCTTTATGCTTGTGATGATTACTTTGATAATTCAGATATTGTTACTGTGATTCTTAGGAGGCACTTAATCAGACTCTAATAAAAATGAACAATGTGGAAATTTTTTGAGAATATGCAATTAGGCTATGATGCATCTGTCAATTCCACACTGACAGTCTGAGTGCTTTAAAAGGGTTCTCAATCAGGCATTCAGATAGTAAGAATGAAAAACAGATGTGAAGAGTAGGGAGAGGAAAAAAGAGGTCCAATATCACTCCTTCTTGTGCAGAATATTGCATCTATGTCTCGGTTCTCCAAGGTTCGGCTATGGCTGAAAAAAAAAAAATTGATGTCTGTACCTCTAAAAGCCCATCTGTCAACAGCATTTTTCAGCCCAATTTCTAGCTCCATATTTTAATTATAATTTTTGTGGTTTGTAGTGAAAGGCTCTAGGATGATGTAAGGAATATAAATTTACAGTTACTCCCACAAAACTATCGCTACTTCAATAACGTAAATAACCGTGCAAATTAGAGGAGCTCAAACGTCGACTTTTATGGCCATAAATGTCTCAAGAAATCCATAGGACCTGAGATCTTTAAATGATCCAACTCGATGAAAAGTAAAGACAATGGGTTATAATAGTGATTAGCAGTTAATAAATAAGGTTGAATGCCCAGGAAAAATTCTGTAAATCTTCATGCTTGCTACAGTCCCCTTAATTTTTTTCCATTGGTATAAACAACAACAAAAAAAAGGTGCAGATGAAATGTTTGCAGTCTTAGAATTTAAGAGGTGATTTTGAAGATAAAACTAGGCACACTTTTGTCTCAGGAATAACTGGAAGTAATATTTTAAGTTCTCTCAAACAGGTATGAGCTTTTCCTTTCTGACTCAGTCTTGACACTCAAAAACATATTTTCTATTACTTTTATAAAAAGCATTCTTACATCCTTACACACACACACACACACACACAGAGAATCAACTGCTCAGTGATGGTGATGAATGGGCAAATTATCTGATCTTTGCAAACATTCCACAAAGTATAAGTATATAATATCACCATATTATATACTTTAAAAATATATGTTTACTCAGATTTTTAAAGTTTTGACATAATTATAGATTCACATGCAATTGTAAGAATTAGAGATCTCTCATATTTTTTATCCAGTTTTCCCCAATAGTAACATCTTCTAAAATGAGACACAATATCACAACCAAGATATTAATATTAGTACAGTCAAATATGTGTGCCAACCCTGCAAGGATCCCTCATGCTGTCTCTATAGTCATAGGATGAAGTCACCAGAGACCATCTTCCTTTTCTCTTTATCCTCCACAACCATGATTCTGTTTCCATTTCTATAATCTCATTTCAATAATGTGCTTTAAATGGAACCAAAGAGTTTGTAACCATATAGTTTGTGAGACTGGCTGCATTCAGTCACCATAAATACTCTAGAGATTCATTCAAGTTTTTATGTGTATCAAAAATTTTCTTTTTTTAATAGAGAAATAGTCCATGGTTTGGATGCATCACTTGTTGCTTAATCCCTTATACATTGGAAGGTATCTGGGTTCTTTCCAGTTTTTGACTTTTCCCAATAAGATGCTAAGATGCTTTAAATATTTGTGTGTAGTTTTTCTTTTCTTTTTTTTTTTTTTAATAGAGGCATGTTTTATTTATTTATTTATTTGTTTGTTTGTTTGTTTGTTTTTTGTTTGTACATGCACTGGGTACAGTCAGAAGTGCGGGAGGGTGAGAGAATTCACCAGAGCCAGAGCGGGGAGCAGAGCAGGCAGAAGGACCGAAGTACACTGCTGAGGGGAGCAGCGGGCGGCAGGAGAGGTCTGCGCGCCATGTGGGACCCTCCTCCGGTGGCCGGGGAGCAGCCAGGGATCGAACCAGCCGCAGAGGCCGCGGGCGGCTTCGCAACCCAGCGCTCAACCGCTGCGCCACTGGGGAGGCCCTGTGTGTAGTTTTTCCTTAGTAAATGAGCAATGGAAGAGTTTCCTCAATCTGATAAAGAGGTCTTGAAAACTCTATAGTTAACAGTCACAATTAATAATTAAAAAAAGCACTTTACTATTACAAGAAGAAAGAAGACAATGATAATGTTAAGCAAAATAAGTCAGAAAGTGGAAGACCATTATGGGATGATTTTATCCTTATGTAGAATATAGATGAACAAAGCACAAAAGTGAAGAAAATGCAACACAGTAACACTGAGAAAAAGATGAGGTTACCAAAGGAGAAGGGAAGAGGTAGAGGATGTCAGTTTGATGGTAAGATGGCCCTAGAGCTTTAGTAATGGGTGGGAGGTATACATATTGTGGTGTGAAGCAGAACTCTTCAAATATATCATCTTACAAACCAATGGCAGTTCAATAAAATTATATTAAAAAAAGAGATATAAAGGAAGGGCTCCTGGGTACTACTCTGGAATCCTGGCACCTAATACATACTAAACTATTTGAGGAATTGGAACGTCCAAACTAGAAACAGAATTCAGTGCTGTCTTGTTAAAATGTATCAAATGTACAGCTTTTGAGCATCTTTCTGTCCTATGTTTTTCCCACCAAAATGCTCCCCCAGAATGACTTGGCATTTGAAAACCATTGCGTGAAATATGAGGTTATGTCATTTTACAGCTTTATTTGAAAATTTATTCCTAGGCCATAGCATATGGAATAGATGCAAGTTGTAATTTCTATATGTAGGAGCTGTGTAAGATGCCATTATTTTTAGAGGCTTTACACAACAGTATCTGACTCTTCTGCAGTGTGCAAGCATATTTGCAGTTCTTAAAATGGTAACGTGTCAAGAAAGAAAAGTGAGGTTATCAGGGGAGAGAAGGAATAAAGGTTAGGTTAAACAGGTCAAAGGATCAGTTAGTTATATGTGGTAGATGGAAATTAGACTTTTAGTGGAGATCATAATTTAGTATACACAGATGTTAAAGGCTATACACCTGAAACTTATACAATGTTACACACCATGTTACATCAGTTTTTTCAAAAAAGAAAGGTACTAAATAGAACAGAATAGAGCAATTTGAATAAAATAATGGAAATGCTAGCTATTACACATGAACATAAGAGCACATCAATTTTCTTTGAATGATGGAAAAGCTACGTGACATTTCCAATATTTTGGCAATCTTCAGCACATACTTTTTGCAAAGCAGTAACCACAAAGGCATGAGTCTGACTCAGTGGGCCAGCTGTAGATTTGCTGCTGAGGGGAGGTCAGAGGGCAGGCTCAGCTCAGCATGTGTGGGGAGCTACAGCTGTCTGGATTCATCTATAACCCCGCAGACAACGCTCCAGGGAGCCGTCACAACACTGGGTTTTTGAACGATCTAAAAATCCCATGTGAAAACTAATGATAAGAATCATTTAATGAAATGAGAGGCTCATTTGATACCAACAGATGACATTATTCCAGTAAGATACTGAAACTTGTTTTTTCCTAAGTATTGTATACATGTCTAATTTTCCTTTATTTGCTGTGTGCTGAATTCTGTAAAAGGAGTTTCATTTTTTTTTAATGCACATTATTCACTCTTTTACCATCAGTGTTTCTCTCCAAAAGGAGTAATTGATTAAAACTTGCATGATTCTCTTTAAATCTCTGCTTAGGTGTTAAGAGCACCCTTTCTAATTTAAACAAAATTTATGTTTCCAAGGATTCCATGAAATTTTAGTCAATAGTCTTCTGAAAAAGGAGTATGACCAAGTCTAAAGACTTGTGTGTAGATAATTACTTCTCTACGATGTGCTGAGGAACAAGAATTCTACCAAATATTAAATCTTAACCATAACCAGTCACTGCTCTAAATGTTTTATATGTATTAACTCACTTAATTCTCATAACATGATCAAGATATTCTTACACCATCAGGGATCCATTCCGAATGAGGAAGCAACAGCATACAGCAGTCGTGTGGGGATGGTGTGTCGTGGGGCTGGGTGATGGAGCAAGGACTTAGCTCTGGCAGTCAACTCCAGATCATAAGCTTTGCTCTAGACAGCCATGGCTTTGGTGTCCATTGCAGCTAGACAGATTTACTCTCATCTGTGGCTATGATTTACATCCATTCTTTTTGGCACGCATGAATATATTGAAGATTCTAGGTATAAAATGTGAGGTTCAAGCTCCCTCTCCCTTGTGTTTAACATTGAGCCTTGCAGAAGAGTAGGTCATTGGCAAGCAGTGTTTACACACAGGTGGGCCCAGGATAGTTTCCTCCCAAGGCTTCTAGGACCCCAGAGAGATGCAGAAGGCATCCAAACACCCCCTAACACTTGAAGTGGGGAATCAACTAGGGCTGTGGCTGGATGAAGAGATGTTGATTTCAGAGATGACGTGAGTTGCATGAGTAGATGCTGGAAATCAGAAATGAATGACATGACCCACGGGGATCATACATTTCAGAGGATGGTACATCTCTGTGGAAGCCAACATGCACAATTGCGAATCACAAGGAACAGGTACACCTCACCCACCCAGTGAGAATTTCATAGGTACAATACACAGAACTTAGGTTAAAAAAAAATGCAAGGTGAAGGAAATAAGAGAGGGGGACCTAACAAATAAAAAACTAAGTTGTTAAGTTCATGTCTGCATTCAGTCCCTGGTGGCGCAGCAGTTGAGCGCTGGGTTGCGAAGCTGCCTGCAGCTTCTGCAGCACTGGTTCGATCCCCAGCTGCTCCCCTGCCACCGGAGAAGGGTCCCACATGGCGCGCAGACCTCTCCTACCGCCCACTGCTCCCCTCAACAGTGTGATTCGGTCCTTCTGCCTGCTCTGCTCCCCACTCTGGCTCTGGTGAATTCTCTCACCCTCCCGCGCTTCTGACTGTACCAGTGCTTGTATAAATAAATAAATAAATCTTTTAAAAAAAAAAAGACACTGCAAGGACTAAGTGAACAGATGTTATTAGATGAAGTGTTCTTCCAAGAAAAATGGGGTTTGAAGGTTTAATTATACCAAGGTATAGAAAAAAAACCACAAAAGACAATTTCATTTTTGCATCCCAAGCACAAGGTTGTATAATTGCTTTATGCATTTACTTTGAATACACAGCCATACAGAGCTCCATCAATGACTTATCCCTTTTGTAGCTGGGAGATTAGGCAGGAATTACCATATTACTCCATGTCACAGATGAGGTAAGGAGGCTCAGTGAGGTGCTGCGACTCACTCAATTCTCCATCAGTAATAAGTGGTGGATCCTGTGTCATCTGAGCCCAGGTCCTGTGCTACTGCAGTTGGATCTCACAGAGCTCAGCACATGCTGACGAACACCACTGAAACAATCAGAACATATTTCTATTCTGAACATGAAAGACGAACTGCTAATCACGGAACACTTAAAATAAAAGTGAGTTTAGAAGTTTTTCTTATTTCTTTTGTTTATCATTTTTTTTTTTTTGAGGGAACATTGATCTACAAAGTCATCATTTGTGTGTTAGAGGCACAGGGTCTCCCCCTCAAGCGTTGTGACCCCATTACACTCACTATAGACCATTTGCTCCCTCTCTGCCCTGTTCCCACAGTCCCCCCACCCCAACCTCAAGTTTATAGTCAGCTTTCTAGGATTACTTCTTTACTTAGTTTTATCTGGTCCATTGTGTTGTTTCTCTATAGTCCCCATATGTGTGACACCACCAGGTATTTGTCTTTCTCCTTCTGACTTATTTTGCTTAGCATTATCCCCTCCAGGTCCATCCAAGGTTTTCTTATTATCAAAGACAATTAAATAAAGTCAGGCTTTCATTCCATGGTCATTACTTGGCATTTTATCTCCTTCTGGAACTCTTTGAATCCAAGCCAATGTTTTGAGTGAAAAACCCAACAAGTCTGTCTGCGTATATCTGGGGCAGGCTGACTACAGGATCTGTGGGTCTATGTTGATATAATTCATTAACACCATGGTTCAGATGGCAAATACAGTGAGTGAATGCACAGATTGTTGAACAATTGTTGCTAAGACCAGAAAAGAAACTCACTTAAACCATGCGTGGATTCAAATAGGATCCTGTTTACTTATGACTGATTAAAAAAAAAAGAGAGAAAACTGAGCTTCACAATTATTCTTGAATTAATATTTCACTTCCTTCTGTGTCAGAATAAAGAAAAGAAATGGACCAAAAAGTATTTAACTGCATGTCTTCTGATCAAAGGCTAATATTAAGGAAACAATTTAACACAGTGTTACTCATTTTATGGAAGCTGGTGGTGTGGTGCAGGTGGTTGAACACAGCACTGTGAAGCTGTCCGCAGCCTCTACAGTGCCAGTTCAATCCCCACTGGCTGTGGAGCAACACACATGCTGCAGTAGATCTCTCCTGTCTTGCCCGCTGCTCCCCTCAGCAGTGTATTTCAGTCAGTCTGCCTGTTCTGTTTCCCAATCTGTCTCTGGTAAATCCTCTCACCCTCCTGCACATCTGGCCTGTACCCCAGTTCTTGAATAAATCTTAAAAAAAAAAAAGATTTAAACAGAAGTACCATCATCTTTTGAAGTACTAACAACAAAAAAAAAATGTTTAAGTTTTAGAAAAGCAAATGACAGCTTAGTTTTCTTTTACGTTTCATTATATACCAACCAGAAGTACACTATAATGCACAGTATGGGGGCTGGTCAATAGCAATGTATTGCAAATTTTAAGAAAGCAACTCTAAAAAGTTTTCATCACAAGGAAAATTGTATTTATGTCTTTGTATGGTGACAGATGGTAACCAGACTTACTGTGGTGATTATTTCACAACGTATACAAATGTTGAATAATGATGTATACCTGAAACTAAATATTATACTGTATGTCAAGCATAATTCAGTTAAAAAAGAAGTACATAGTAAAGATCGTGAGATCCTATTTATCATTTACTTATTGAACAGGCTTTTGAGAAGTCAAGAAAAAAAATCATTGATAGGTTTATGAGTTAGAATTCTTGTGTATTTTCTTGAGTGTGTATTTCTTAGTGAAGACATATAGATTATCCAAACTTTTTTATTTTGGAGATTAATAAGATAAATTGGGAAACAACCAGACCTATTGATATAATCCTCTATGTTCATTTTCCCCTTCCAACAGATTGGGAGAAGGTACATGAGGTAAAAATCTAGATAGAAGCAGGGAAGTGTTACCCGAAAGGATGTTAAGCAGTTAGTGCTTATTGGAAGGACAATCATGCCAAAAGCTTTTACTGAGTTTAAAGGAAAACTGTGATATGTGGTTGGACACCTGAAGGTCTCCACATTCAGGCCAGAGAAGGGAAATAAAAGTGTTTCTTAGTACCACCTGGGCTATTCTTATCCCTTCCTCTTCCATAAATAATTTAAAATCAGCTTGTCAAGTATACATCTACTATGCCAAATTTGGGGGATTTTGATTGGATTAATTTGCATTGATATATTTGCGGTGAATTGGTATCTTTATAATGAGTACCCTTTTTTATGAATGTTGTAGTGCTTGACATTTACTTAGGTTTACTTTAGTGCCCTTTTAAAGTTTTATAATTTTTCTCATAAAGTTCTGGTTCATATTTTGCTAAATTTATTCTTATGCATGAGTCCATTATTAAATTTTCAAAGCTTAATCATGCATTTTTTGAATGGTTTCTTACTGCTACTGTATAGAAATGCAATTCATTTCGGAATGTTATGTATGTTGCAATTTTGTTAAAATAATAGATTGTCTATATAGAAAGCTATAAATGTAAATATTAGAAGTGTGCCTGCTTCTATCCCAGTTCTTATGCCTTTTATTTACTTTTCTTATTTTACTCCATAATTTAAAATGCTAGTTAAATAATGGAAGTGTTCACAGAGTTGCTTTTTTTTTCTTCAAAGAGGCAATGCATTAATCTTAATCCTAGTCCTAGAGGTTAGTCTTGTCTTATTCCAGACTGGATATTGTATATTAAAATGATAGTTATACAAGTACTCACTTTGGTAGCACATATACTAAAATGATAATTATACTATCTAGTTTGATATTTAATTGTAGCTTTTTTGTTGGTAATCTCTTTTGTTGTTATTATTAATCTTTAGAAGTTTCCCTTAACTACCGGTGAGTCAAACATTTTTAAAAAATTGCAAATGGATTTTGTAGTGCACTGAACCTTTTTGTGCATATATTGGGATAATTATGTGCTTTTTTCTTTCTCAATCTGCTAATGTGGTAAATTACATTAAGTTATTTTTCTACATTAAACTTGAAACAAGCTGAATAATCTGCATGAACTTTAGGATATTCCAATAATAAGTTCAACTTGGAATTAACACTTTCATAGCACACAAGAGATGTTATAGCTTTGCTAATGCCTATTTTTGAAACCTATAGTTGGGAGTGAGATTAATCCATATTTTTTCTTTCCTGTACATTATTGCCTGGTTTTTGTAACATGATATACTAACCTCACTAATTACTCAGGGTTTTTTCTCTTATTCTCGGAAACAGTTCATTTATAATTAAAATTCTGTTCCTGAAAATTTACCAAATTTGCTTACCCACTTATTCAGGTTTGGTATTTTCTATGTGGGAAGAATTTTAACTACTCATTTAAAATTTAAGAATGTGCAAGATTATTTGATTCTAATTTGTCCCTGCTACTTGTATGGTCATGAATTTTCAAGAGAGAATTTTTACCCCTCCATACAGTGCATAGGTTAAAGCATGGAAATTCCCTTGAGGTCCTGGTTAGGGTGAATTTTCCTAGGTCACATTTTCATTGAGAACATAGTCCTTTGAGAACCTAACCGTTTTCAATTTTCCATTCAACCCTAACTTGGTTGGGTTATAGCTTTGTTCCAATTCCTTATTCCCTAAGTACTGTATTAAAAAGAAAGTTGCAGGATTTATAGAGATTATCAATTGCCATCTTCAGTTTTAAACTTATTTTTTTTAAAGATTTATTTATTTATTTATACAAGCACTGGGTACAGTCAGAAGTGCGGGAGGGTGAGAGGATTCACCAGAGCCAGAGCGGGGAGCAGAGCAGGCAGACTGATGAAATACACTGCTGAGGGGAGCAGTGGGAACGGCAGGAGAGGTCTGTTGTGCCATGTGGGGCCCTCGCCAAGGGCTGGGGATCAAACTGGCGCTGCAGAGGCTGTGGGCAGCTTCGCAGCTAAGCGCTCAACCACTGCACCACCAGGGGAGGCCCAGTTTTAAACTTATTTAAGCCTCTGGGTTTTGCTGGTATTTCATCATCTTTCTCATTGGAGGAGTGCCTTTTCTACCATTTTCTTGGCAGTATAATAATGCACGCATATAATATATTTTTTTAAAGGTTTATTTTTGTTTCTTTATACAAGCACTGGGTACAGTCAGAAGCACAGGAGAATGAGAGAATTCACCAGAGCCAGAGCGGGGAGCAGAGCAGGCAGAAGGACCAAAGTACACTGCTGAGGGGAGCAGCGGGCAGCAGGAGAGGTCTGCGCGCCATGTGGGACCCTCCTCTGGTGGCCGGGGAGCAGCCAGGGATCGAACCGGCGCTGCAGAGGCTGTGGGCAGCTTCACAACCCAGTGCTCAACCGCTGCGCCACCCGGGAGGCCCCGCATATAATATTTTTTATTATTCTATCTCAAGAAGTTCTCCTCCTCCTACCTCCAGTATCTGTACCACTATATTGTCATTAAGAAAAGCCTCTTTAATTCTTTTTTTAATTCTATGCTTTTCTCTTCCTAGACAAATGAGGGTTCTCAAATTTGGTAAACCTTTTATTTTCTGCTTTTGTTATATGCTGTTTATACTGTTTTTCCTCGATCAGTTGGTCTTGTTTCTACAAGTGGAAACTATGTTTTTGATACTCAGTTTCTCAGAATTTGCCTACTAAATTTTTCTTTTTTACTTTGATTAAAGTGCTTCTTCATTTGGGTATAACAGGCTAACATTGCCTTGGAGAAACAATTTTACACTTTTCCTTTCTATATTATATTGGTGTAATAAGACTGATCCAATTTGTTTGAGGTTACTCAATCATTGCCAGTACAACTGTCCCTTCCCCCCGGCCAAGAAAATCCCCCAGAAAATTGCTAAAGTCCACATAGTCAAGCAAAAATAATTGCCATTCGTTAATAAAAATTAAAACAAAATTGTCATCACAAAGGTTCTTATCATATGTTTAGCCATGGCAGAAATAGAATAATATTCCTAGTTATACTCTTTTATATATACCTATGTATAGTGTGTATGTCAACACACAACTAAAGTGCCATGATAACATGTTATCAATTTTTGCTAATAAGGCCTTATCAGTAATATTGGCTAAAATTCCCGGGCTGAAAAGCAGAGAACAAAACCTTGGACACCAAGTAAGGTGAAAACAGCACACACATTTGAGGGGCAGAAGTCTGAATTCTAGGCATCCTGACAGGTGCAGTGGCAGTTGGGGTGAGTGAAGGACACACACAGGTCAGTGGAAGCCTCCAAACAAACACTTGCAGGAGTAGACAGAAAATAGGCACTTACTGAAATTGCCACTATTATCTAGACAGGATCCAAGTCTTAAGTAAGACATTGTGATTTAAAGTGACAAAGATTTCTAGTTAACCTTTAAGTAAGGATCAGATAATAACAAAAATACTATCATAGAGTAGAAGGACAAAGATTGGTTTAATCATCTGTTAAGGGTGCCTTTCGGAAATTTTCAAAGACAGTGTACAGCTCTCAGACTAAAACAGCTTGATAACCTTGATGTAAATGGAACAAATGTGAAATAGATGAGTTAAGTCATTCTTGATCTATCAACTAAACATAAAGATGTAGCAAGAGAACTATAGGGCTCACGTAAACAAATTTTGACTAAGTGTTATTTTTCCTGTACTCAGCTAGCAGCTTTGGAAGTAATTCATTAAAATGATTCAAGTTGAAATGTATGTTATTTTCTTGTGAACAAGATTTAATCATTATAATTTGAAAAGTCATTTCATTTTTTCATAATGAAAATGTCTTCATCATGTAATTCAGCAACAATGAATTGAATGACCGGAAAAAAGCAGAAATTTAATAAATACCATGCATGGAATATAAATAAATATGTAACATATGACAGAGAAAGGAACAAATGAATGGAGTAGACAGAGAAGAAAGACACAGCAATGCTGTATTTCAAGGCAATGGACACACTTTTCTCTGAAAAAAAATTTTACATTGACTAGTTAGTGAACTGACAAATAGAGAGATGATCTATAATATATAATTTAAAAAAGAAATATCTTTTTAACCAATCCTCTTTGTTATATTTAATTTTCAAAGATACATTTATAGTCATTTGCAAAAAGTATCAAACCAGGTCTATATGGAGATTAAAAAATAGCAAGGATGTTTTCAAATCTTGTCTTCTGTTTTATTTTTAGCATGAGAATTATGTTTTAGCTTTTCCAATTTTCCCCTAACTGTGAGCATATTTTGCTTTTGATTGTCATTTCCCCCCCTTTAGTCTAATTCCGGAATGCCAGTAGACTTTACTCTTTTTCACATTTGGAGCGCTTAGGAGACTATTCTCTTCCTACTCTGGCTTGAATGTTCAAATATTTTTTGTGTGTGTTTACCCACAAGTAATTAACAACCCTCTTTTGTAGCTATGTCAATGGCCTTATTTTTATTCTTTATTTTCCCTTTCATATTTCATTTCATTGTTCACATAATGGACTTCTTAGTTTTTTTTTTTCTGTTTCAACACAGTGATAATTCAGTTAAATTTATGAACATCTCTTTTAACATAGGACATTATATTTTTCTGAAATTAGCAAATACTTAAAACAAAATTGTTATTCAGATATACATGTGTTCAAAGTTTTGTAACATGTACCTTTGTTTTCTAATTTACTGTTAATAGAGCAAATCATAGAAAGCTCTATCTACAGCTCTATAAAATGTATTTCTCAGTGCACTGAGGTTCATGAAGATATGAATTATATCATCTAAGTGGAGGGTCAAGAAGAAATTAACTCTTATCTGTGAGTTCTCTGTTACTTAATGAATTCAGCTACAATTTTGGTACTAGCAATTCAATTTCAATTTTTATTCTACATGTATATACCAAAAATAATCTGATTGAGATATTTTTAATGAGAAAATGCACATTACATTTAGATTAAATTTTTCTACTGCAGCCTGATGACCACAGCTTTCATTTCTCAAAATCTCCTGGAACACCACTACAGAAATCATGCACCCAAGTATCTTGTTAACTTGAATATTTTATTTTCTATTTCTAGTTTCATGGAACGTTCTGAAGTAATATATTGACATTTGAAATGTTACACTGAACCCAACTGTAAAATGAAGTGACCGAATCCCTTTGAAGGTGAAGTTATCAATTATTCTTATGATAAAGGAGGCTGTATATGGCCCATAAACACAATTTCAACTGTGGACTTTTTGATGAAGGCACAGAGATGCTCCTCAAAGGAAATATGGATGGTGAGTTATGACAGCAGGTTTTGGGTAATCGCCAGAACTGCAGCAGCTACACCAGGAGTGATTTAAATGCATCATCAGTTTCCCAGAACCAAATTTTGCAACGAATTCTTAATGGCTCCCCAAGCTTACCACAGGATAGCTGGAACACTGTCATGGCGTAGTTTCATTTTTAATTGTAGGTGCCCAGGAAGGGTAAGTGTGGAGGTCAAACATGGGTACAATCCAGGTGAACATACCAAGCATCACCACAGCAACACCCAAAACATTTATGCCAAGTCCCGCTTTCACCTGAACAGGAAAGAGTAATAAATGTCACTCTCTCAAAAAAGAAAATCCATGGGAGAATTGGAATGCTGTTGCAGAACGCATGTGCCAAATTTACATGCACCCTACAGATCAGCGTAAATTGTTGAATTCACAAAATACGTCATTCTTCCACTCATATCAAAGACTGTCCTCAACCCAGTGGCACTTGAGTCTCAGAGAAGTTTCTTTTAAATACATACCAAAGTGCATTCTGATTAGGAAAAATCTTGGTGAAGGGTGTGGTGTAGTGACATGCATGTGAGGAGATGTGATTGTACATCTCTGAATCACATACAGTGTGCAGACCACTGTTGCCTCAATTTAAAAAATACTTTAGAAAGAAAATGAAAGAAAAAAAATTAAAAATAAAAAAACATGATGTCCTAAAGCAAAATGGGGAGACCTAGTGGTGCAAACCTTTCATTTCTTCAGGTACCTTATTTTTATTTTTGAGTTAATATACTTAGGACATTGCTCATATTATATTTTATGTTTCACATTTATCAAAAATAAATTACATGAATCTGTATAGAGGCATTTCCATAATGTTTATGTTGCAGGGGACTTATTCTGAAGGTGCATTTGCTTATTAGCAAGCTCACTGAATTGCTTTGGTTTTATTCCTGTTTGGTTTGGCTTGAAAGTTGGCAATCAAGATTGCAGGGAGATTATAATATTCTCAAAGTAGTTCTTGACTACCACCACTTTTGTAAGTGGCAAAAATGTGCACATTTTATCACTTAAATTTTCCATTATCACCTGCTTGTGCTTTCATGTCAGGTGCCTGGATTAGAATAAGAAGAAAGAATTTTTTTCATCAACCAGGCACTGAATCCAGTGTTTTATTCAGAGCAAATGTTGGTCACATAAATATTTTTGAGAGCTGGATTTCATTGACCTCATATCTTCCTCTTACCTAGATCAAGGTGAATATTGAACCTGTAAGTTTTAGTCACTGTATTGAGGATATTTGATGTTCTTTTCCTTCTTTTGGGACATTACTGATGCTCTCAAAAATCTCTGTAATTATGAAAATAAATTCTAATGGCATGTCTACTTATCATTATTACTCTTAGGAACAAAACTCTCTAGAATCTATGTCAAGTCATGCACTCACCTTAAGAAGAAATTAAACCATTGCCAATGATTAGTATGTAAAAGGAAAAAATAACCCAAGACACCACACAAGAAATGTATATTGAACCTTCAGCGAGCTTACCATGTCAATCACTTTTAGATGGCCATATGAAAATACAATAGCATTGGATGGATTTGCTACTGGTAAGAGAAATGCAAATGAAGTACACAGGGTAGAAGGTATCAGAATATAAAGAGGGTTCATTTGAATAGCTTCAGCCTGTTAGGAAAGATAAAAAGGAGTCTCAGTGAAATGTTGAGGCACCAAGTATCAAAACTAAGAAAAATGTTAAAATAAACTTTCCCAGAAAGAGGTTGAAACCTAAACACATAAAATCATACACATAAATACTGCTATCACTTGAAGAATATTCTTCAGAAAAATTTTCTTCCTCTTTATATAATTATTGGTACCCATTTAAGCATTAGATGTCAGTTCATTTAGAAAATATTCATTTATTACAGACACTAAATAAAAGAGCAACCATTATTTTCTATGTTGGTAGATGCTGTGCAGTCTTTACATGTATGTCTTTATCTGTGTACATTTATATTATAAATATAGTATATATGTAAAACTTCATGTATATTATATGCAATGTAATATACAATATAATATACTTCATATATTAAATATACAATATACTTCATATACTTAAAATATATGACTATTTTCCACATTGACTTCATGAGATGACTGCTCTAACTGCAAAAAACAAAAGAAGAAACAGACCCAGAGAGGTCATTTGTCCAAATACACAGCAGGAAATCAGTAGAACTAGGTAGGGTCACTGCTTCCTCTGGCTCCAAAACTTCCCATCATACCATTAGCTTTACTGCCTTGGAGGCATATATAATTAAAGATGTGCTTGGGGATCCAAAAGAAAGCAATACTGCTATTCTTAATTCATCATATAATCTTCTAACTGCTCCATGTTGAGAAATTAAAAACTGAAAAAACCGAAATGATGTTTTACCAATATAAACTGCCCATATTTCTTTTCTAATTTGAAGCATCGTGTCAAGAGTGCCCGCATATGCCCCTTGAGCTGGCTGCAGAGCAATTTCCGAAAGACAATCCTTCTTAATTGAAAGTGCTTTCCTTTCACCAAGCTCATCTGTCCCAGTAAGAAAAACATTTTACTTAAAGCTGTGTCTTGTCACTGGGGAGAAGGGAAGACAGTTTTTCCCTCTCTCTCTTTGCAAATCCACTTACTTATCTTTTTAAAATCCTTCCCTGGGCAGTGGAAAACTGTGACTAAGATATTTAAACTTGAAGCCTGAAGTGTAAGCCTAGATTTTCATTCACGTGCAAATTACTTCTGTGTGGGGCTTCTCAGAAATTCAGAAATGATCTTCTGGAGGGGAGATATGTCCGTGTTAGAGATCTAAATGCTATAGTTGCCGGTTAATGCTGAGCCCAGAGGCTTAAAACTGGAAAGGATGTAGGCTGACCCTCCCATTTATTTGCAAGTGAACTGGGCAGAAGGAAGGTAAGTGCTTCACTTCAGATGATGCTGCTTCAACCGGAAGGAAAATAGCTTTCCTATTCAAGCCAAAAATGATTTCATTTCAGATGAGATGAGAATGATGACATCAACCACTACTCTTTTCATGAAGAGTTACAGTGGGATAAATGAGATACTTACCAGTGGAGCTAGTATCGGGAGCAGGAGGGTAATGGTAGCTGGATTGCTGGCTACCTCTGTTAATGATGTGACCAGCAAACAAGATATGAACATTATTAGCCATCCTGGTAATGAACCCAGAGGAGATAATTGATTTGCTATCCACTTTGATAGTCCTGATGCCTTAAAAAACAAATTGGCAGCATGTTATTCATTAATGATTCGTTTTTAATCAACTGATTAAAATAAATAAAAAGCTTTACTTCTAAGAACTGTTTCTTAAATAGTATTTAATCTTTCTTTTTTGCCTGTGGTGTGGTAGATCTAGATGGCTTTGACATGCTGTAGTTCTCAATTCTTCTTATTTTAACTCTACCAACATGCTTTAGGAAGGTTGAATTGTCTTCCCATATTTTTAAATTAAATTTAATTTTATCTAATTAAAATATGTGGCTATTTTAACTAGCCATGTAGTACTAAAGACTTTAAAAAAATAGGAGCCCTTCTGGTCTACCTTTCTCCACATTTAAATTGTCTTCCTCAAAGGCAAATGCTTGCAACCCTTATTAGACATTTATAGCTATGTTTAGGAATTTATAGCTATTTTTTAAATATGGTTGTCCTAATTTTCAAATTTAGATATTATTTGCTAACTTCCTAATACAACAAACCATCCACCATACCTATATTACTTGTCCTCTTTTCCCTTGCCCTTGCATATTAACATTTTTGGTTAAATCACCATTTAAACTTTGCCATTAAGATGATATGAATACTATTCATACCTGGGTTACTTATATACTGTTTGCTTAATTTTCCAGCTACCTATTATTAATTCTTTAGCACATTCTCCAGTAAAATTGGAAAAATTCCCCACAGGTAGAAAAATATCTGAGGTAAGTGTTCTTTTTATTTTCCCTCATAAAAATGTCCATTCTGGAACATTCCCTCCCTTCTGCCTCATCTGAACTAATTGCCATTTAGAGTTCTCTGATAGATTTCTTTTCACTGGTATACTGTGAATACCTTTCTCATCCTCTTAAGTGAGACTCCTTTCTTGTTAATTCCTTTGTGTTGGTGGTACATATTGTTTTGTTTTTTAATTGAGGTAACCTTGGTTCACAACACTGTATGTGTTTTAGGAGCACAGATTCGAACTCTTCAAATATATTCTAGTTTCCTGAGAATTGTTGTATAGGGAGTAAATTTTTGTAGTCTCTGCATGTCTGAAAACTTTATTTTTTCTCACACTGCTTTGATAGTTTAACTTTTACAGGATTCTAGGCTTCAAATAATGATCACTCAGCAGTTTCAAGCCATTGCTCCATTTTTTGTGTTTTCCAGTTGGAATGTTTTTGAAGCCTGATGACATTCTGAACTTTGACTCCTTGTTTGTAGTACAGGAAAATCGGCTGCATCACATCTGTGAGTATTCTATCCTACCCTCCACCCCCACCCCCCAAATATGGGAAAAACCTACCATATGCAAGACCATCTCAGTGAGATACCACATGTGTGAATCTTTATGCTTGTGGCAAACTAGGACTGGCACCAGAAAAGCTGAAATTACGAGCAGTAAAGTCCCACAAAAAAAGTGGTCAAAGACATGCCCAGCTTTGTATACCAGAGACCATGCACGTTTCTTATAGTTTCTACTTAAATTTTTAGTTTTGATTCTTAGATGGGAAAAGATGTTCTATCATTTAAATCACATTGACACTAATTCATCCCAGAATATAACTACACAAACTTTAAAAATGGACTTTGCTTATGTCTGATTAGATCTGTTGGGAAAGGCTACATCACATATTGCTCCCCTCTTTGGAAACCTTGGGGATCATGTGGTGACAGTCAGGGCTCTGCAAGTCTCCATGAATTGCTTTCACATTAGGCACTCAGGAGCTCTTGCTGCTCCTGAATCTCCAAGTTTTAGGCTCTGGGAAACTTCTTACACTATATTTTAGAAATATCTTCCTATTTCATTTCCTTTTCTTCTTTCTTAAACTCCTCTTAATTGACAGTTTGGGCATTTTGGATGGCTACCCTAATTTCCTACCCTTTTCCCCAAATTAATCACATTTTTGTTCTATTTTCTGAAATAAGTTTTTGTTTTGTTTTTTTTTTCATTTATTTATTTGTTTGTTTTGTTTATACATGCACTGGGTACAGTCAGAAGCGTGGGAGGGTGAGAGAATTCACCAGAGCCAGAGCGGGGAGCAGAGCAGGCAGAAGGACCGAAGTACACTGCTGAGGGGAGCAGCGGGCAGCAGGAGAGGTCTGCGCGCCATGTGGGACCCTCCTGAGGTGGCCGGGGAGCAGCTGGGGATTGAACCGGTGCTGCAGAGGCTGCAGGCAGCTTCGCAACCCAGCGCTCAACCGCTGTGCCACCGGGGAGGCCCCTATTTTCTGAAATAAGTTTAAACTTCATCTTCTAACCTTCTTCCTGAATTTTAAAAATACTGTTCTAATACTACTTATCTTAGTGGCTTTTTCTCTTTTTTTCTATCCATTTCTTTAAAAATAACGTTCTATTTTAGTTTTATAACTTTAATGCTTTAACATGTCTCAGAGACATCAATGACAAATTTTTAAAGTTTTTGCTTCGTGCATCTTCCTTGCTTTTGTGTTTTATTCTTTGTTCTTATTATATCAAAGCTGTCTGGTGATCCAGAGCTATGTATTCATGTTTAAAAGGGAGGCAGTAAAATGATGGGCAAAGCTTGTTGAGAGGAAGACTTTACTGTAGGTGACTGAGCTGTGAGCCATGTCTTATTGATTCAATTTTGCTAGAGTAAATCTAAATTTTCTACCAGGGAGGAGAGCAGTTGCCTGTCTATTCAAGACTGGAGAGAGCATCTGGGACGCTCACAGCTCTTTATACATTTTTTAAACCATCTTCTATTTTTAGTCCTGGTTTCCCCCCAGCTTTCAGTTTATCTGCTGCATTCAATTTCTATGCTCTTCCAGAATCATGTGGATGAATCACTTTGCTTCATGTTGGCGCTTCCTTTTACAAGCCTGAAGAATTTATCTTTCTCTACTTTTTCCTATTGTACAAAGTCAGTCACCCTTCAGATATCCTGTTTTTATCGTCTAAATTTTGTCAATATCTCATGGTACTGTTCCTGCCATACAGTCTTTATCTTTATGGAGAGACATTCTTTTTGTTCATTTATAGCCCTTTTAGTGGGGATCTGAGAAAAATAGTGTTAATGTCTCCATCTTTAACTTAGGAGAAAATTTTTTTTTTAGATTTTATTTATTTATACAAGAACTGAGGTACAGGTCAGAGGCACGGGAGGGTGAGAGAATTCACCAGAGACAGAGCAGGGAGCAGAACAGTCAGACAGACTGAATACACTGTTGAGGGGAGCAGTGGGTGAGGCAGGAGAGGTCTGTCACACCATGTGGGTTTCTCCCTGGCCGGGAATTGAACCCGCGCTGCAGAGGCTGCTGACAGCTTCACAGCATGGTGCTCAACCGGCTGTGCCACCAGGAAGGCCCAGGAGAAAAATTTTATGGAATGTGTGAAAAAGGGAAAGGAGGAATTATTCACTGATAAGAATTTGAAAGTGACTACCATCAGCTCTGAGAGTTCAATCGTGTTAAAATAAAACCAAAGGACATTTAAAAGAGAGGGAATTGGGCTTCCCCGGTGGCGCAGCGGTTGAGCGCGGGGTTGCGAAGCTGCCCGCAGCCTCTGCAGTGCCGGTTCGATCCCCGGCTGCTCCCCGGCCACCGGAGGAGGGTCCCACATGGCGCGCAGACCTCTCCTGCCGCCCGCTGCTCCCCTCAGCAGTGTACTTCGGTCCTTCTGCCTGTTCTGCATCCTGCTCTGACTCTGGTGAATTCTCTCACCCTCCCGCGCATCTGACTGTACCCAGTGCTTGTATGAATAAATAAATAAATAAATAAATCTTAAAAAAAAAAAAATAAAAGAGAGGGAATTGCATAAACTGAATGCTTTTCTAGCTGCTGTCTCAGTTCCCAACTAGAAGGATTATCATTTCCTTTTGAAAATTTGCCAAACTAATTATAATTTGGAACAAGTCAAAAAATGTTTATAAAACCAGTTTCTATGGGCATAGTTATCCACATGACTTTTTCAAATTCATGACTTCAATCTGACCACTCAGAGGTAGGGTTATTCTAGGTATGCCATTGAAACCTGACTCTCTGTCTTGGGATTCTCATGGCAAACTAGTACTCCCACATTGTGTCCCAAATTCCTTTAATGAGAGGGCCTAGAGCACCAGACTGAGTTTCCACCTAGTCAATTCCTTAGACTTTACTATTCTGATCTAGTCAATGCTTTTCAAACCATTTGAGTATCTAGGATCCAGTCCAACATATTCTGAGAAGGAGAGAGGAACAAAGTTCACATTGATGCCAGAATTGCTGATTCTGATTTCCTCACAATTAAATTAGGAGACAGGAATGGAAATTATTTATTCTGAGAAACCAACTCTCATTACTGCTGAGCTAATAATAAAAAAGCACATTCGTCTTACATCTTGATCAGTTATATTTTAGCAACCTCTAAGGCAAACCAAAATGATATTGTTACTGGCATGCAGAATTGAGAAAAATCTCCAAGGCTTTCACTTACTACTGAATCCTATCACTGAAAGCTCAAGTATCCAAATCCCATACGGAAACACTGACAATATGATCAAAGCAGTCCCCCTCTAGGTGATCAAGGAGACAACAGGACAGTTAATTGTCTTGAGAAATATAAAAATTTAACTTCCCAGAAACTGAAAAGCTGGACACCACACCTCTCTCACCATCCTTTTTAGTTTGATAATTGAGTAAGGAAATGCTCTTTGAGTAAGGAGATGGAACAGTCATGAGCTTTAAATCTTTTATAGAAGGTTGTTTATTGCAGCACTATTTATAATAGGTAAGACCTGGATACAACCCAAATGCCCAAAAATAGATGGTTGGCTCAAAAAGATCTGGTACATACACAAAATGGAATACTATTCAGCAGTCAAAAAAGATAGACTCAGGCCACTTGCAGCAACATGGATGGAGCTAGAAGGGATTAAGCTCAGTGAAATAAGTCAAAAAAGAAAAAGAAAAATATTGGATAATTTCACTTATAGCAGGAATATAGGGGAACAAAATAAGGGATGAGGGGAAAAATAACAACAATCTAAAAAAAAAAACACGACAAAACTAAACAAATAATCATGAATCAAAGACACTCAGCAGGGGAGGGGGAGGGAAAGGTAATGGTGCACAGGTGAATTTGTGGTGGAAATTTTATGGGGACTATACCTTATGTAAAATATATACAAAGAAATTAATTATAAAAAATCTTTTATAGAAGGTTATAAAATCAGAAATGAGAGGTTTTTCATTTAAAAATACAGGATTTTTATGGACACTCTAGAGAAGATATTTTTCTTCCAGAAACCCTATAGTGACAAAGGCAATTTTAGGGGACTAGATCTCCCTGATTTCTACTACATGGAGAGATAGGCCAAAGCAACAGCCAACTGTATTTCTCTGGGTGGATTTATTTCTTCCTAAAATTAGACATAGTATAATATTAGGCATGGTCACATGAATTTTTCTCTAGACTTTATTTAATAAACCTGTATTAAATGCTTTTCGTTTTATTTTTTTCTCATTCTCCTTCTTTGACAGCATTATGATCATGACATACTGAAAAGAGTCTGAGAGCTACTCACATTCATCATTAAATAAGGTAGAGACCACAAAAAAGGGTACTTCACTAGGTAGGAGTCATTGTAGATAGGATTTTTTACACAAGTTTATTTTCTTTCGGATCTAGTCTTCTAATAACATTGCATGGATTAAGAATTCTAATCTTTATTTCTTTTGACATGCTGGAATATCATAAAAATGATATTTTATGTTGGCATCCTGGTAAAATTCTTAAACTCTGAACTCACCTCATCTTTGTGTTATACTTACTGTGTGGCTATTGAAATCTGCATCATTAAAATGATAGGATGAAGTTGAATATGCCAAAATCTTGCATGTCTCTGTATTCTTCTTTTGAACAGTCTAGTTAATTGTTAAACATCTCAGACTCAGAGTATTACCTCACAGCCATCTGCCAATGCAAACCCTCCACCAACAAGAATCGCTATATCCCAGGGCATGAATGACTGGAATTCTTTCCAAGTAATCAATGGAGAATAATCGAAAGCAACTGCAAGAAAAAAAAAAAAAAAAAAAAGCCCTTCTGTTACATATTGCTAAAAATATGACAACATCACTTTTTTAAAGTTATTCTAAAGTAGTCCCCTCCAAGAAGTTTCAATATTCCTATATACTGTTTTTAGTTAAGGGACTTCATTCAGGCTTTGAGTAATTTCCACCTGACCTAATGTGGGATATTATTTTAAAAAGTTATAACTTTGGAATAAGCTTTGATCAATTGTAATGTCATCATTTATGATGCCATTCATGCATTCATTCCACTAACATCTTTGCCTATTATGAGGAAAAGTGTACTGGACTATGCTTTGCAAAATGTTTGTAATATCCATTAGTTCTAATTGAATCAACACAGCATTATAATTATTATTCTTTCCTATTTATTTGAATATTTTATTATTCTTTCACATCGCTGGAATGGTTATGATAGATTCATGGGGATTCCAATTAAAAAAAAAAGGTCAGATTAAATAATTTAAGTCATTCATGAAACACTTACAATGTTCATAAAGCAATTATCAATAAAGATTTCCCCTGATATTTGTTGAGAAATAAGGTTACCCATGAACACATTATGTCCACTTAACATTTGTGTGGTAACAGGTTGACTCCTTCATGGTGAGACTAACGAGGCTCTCTCTTATCTCTTTCCCCAAAATCTAACCAAACCCACCCTCAGTGTTGACTGAAATTTTGTTAGTTCTCATTTGAATTAAGGCCATATATCCTGTTAAAATGAAAACAACTCTGAATTGTGTCTCTCATGTAAAATTTACCATTTTTTTTCTTATTTACATCTTCTTAATCTAGTGTTAATGAGTTTATCAGGAGAAAAGGAGTTGAAGAGTGAAAAGAGAGAGGAAGATGGATGGGGAAAGGCTCTGTCTGTGGGGCCTCCTAGATATGGGGGTCAGGGAAGGAAGCCAAGCTCTGGCCCTCCTACACTTGCCCCTGCTGAGCCAGAGGACTCTGGTGCCATGGTCAGAGCACTCAGGGTCTCTCAGCACTCAGTGCTCTGCCCTGCAAAGGCTCCTTAAGACACACTGAGATATTCTCATCTCAAGGGAAGAGCAAACAGCATTGGTTTCTATGCTTTTCTATTTACATATATCCTGTCCTAGAAGTTTGACTCATTAGTCATTTATGGATTTTTGACTCAAGCACTCAGGTGGGCCGTGCCTGCTGCATGAGCTCCCTTGCAGTGGGGAAAAAAAAAAAAATAAAGGAAAAGGAAAACCATGGAAAAGGAAAAAAAAGAAAAAGGAAAACTACCAACAAAAACCCCACAATACCACTAGATAATTTCCAAGCAATTTAAAACGATTTTTCCAATACTGTCAGTCTAGGAATTACCCAGCCCACTCTGTGGAAAGCACAGATGTGAATGAATTCTACATTGTGTATGTGTGTGTATGTGTGTGGTGTGTGGTGTGTATGTGTCTGTGTGTGTGAGAGAGAGAGAAATGCTCATATAAACATGCTTCCTTCTTTATTCCTGTGTTATAAAGGCAATGAAAGCCCCCATGTACACCTTTCTTTCAATTGGGATAAAGATTGTGGCTAGTGTAGGGTTGATTTGCACGTTCTCCAGGACTACCACGAAGTTGTAAATGCTCTTTCTTTTGAAATTCCCCATTTTTTGAAAGCCTCAGTATTTATTACCAATGACTGATCATGAAGCAGTAACTTCCAAGTTCTGGTTTCTATGTTTGTCAGTAGTTAGACCAATTCTGAATCTGGAAGGGGAAGTAGGCTCCTCATGGACCAAACAACATCACTGGCAGGAGAGCCCTAACCCTGGGGTATAAGGAAATCGCTTTCACTTTTTGCAGGGGGTGGGGCAGGGAACATGTGTGGTTGAATAGGGGTGATAGTGTACAGACAAGGTAGGCTACACCCAAGATGATGTCACTACATCCATTCCTTCTGTTCTAAGTACAAACAAAACCCAGTGGAATTTCATATTTTTTTGCTCTTCTACTGAACTTGTTCAGAATTATAAATAATACTCAACCAATTTCTCCTGTAGATGTAGTTTTAGTTAATTTCTTAGCTGGGATAAGAAAGAATAGGAGTCCTACAAGTATGGCAACGGTTGAATCTGTAGCAAAACCAGGATACCTGAAAAAGGACAAATGGATACATTAAAATGGCACCAAGAAATAAGCACTAGTAGTATACAGGTAGTATAGGTGATTTCTTCTGGGTAACTTGCTCTAAAATCTATAGCCTGTGCCCATTATTTCGCTATACTTTTCTCTGTCTTTTTTTTTTTTTTTTAAAGATTTATTTATTCAAGCATGGGGTACAGTCAGAAGCGCGGGAGGGTGAGAGAATTCACCTGAGCCAGAGATGGGAACAGAACAGGCAGACTGATGAAACACACTGCTGAGGGGAGCAGTGGGTGTGGCAGGAGAGGTCTGCGCACCATGTGGGACCCTCCCTGGTGGCCAGGGATCGAACCAGAGCTGCACAGGCTGCGGGCAGCTTCGAAGCCCAGTGCTCAACTGCTGCGCCACCAGGGGGGCCCTCTCTTTCTTTTTTCAAAGCTACATATACACATGCTGACTTACTAAACCAACGTAGCAAATTTTCCTTTTAGGTAAAACTTACCTACCTGGTAAGCATTTCTTGTTTTCCATAATATTAGCAGGGACTCAAGGTACAAAATTGCTAGACTAGGCATAGTTCCACATAACATCTAACTATTTTACTGTGGCAAGACATAGATATTTCCAGAATTCCCTATATTCTTCTATAATTTGTAAAAATGAATTGATCTGTTTTTCTAAGATACATCTGCTTCTATGATTATTAGACTCTGCCATATCATTCAAATGAAATCAACCCATTTAATGTTTTACACTGTATGAAACAATCAAAAATATTAATTATTAGAATAGTTTATGAGATGCTCATAAATGATCATTTTACATATTAAGAGTAATTCAGGAACATATGGGGTCTTAGAATCACCAAGCTAATCCAGCAGATAAGAGGTTCCCAGAAGCCTCAACAGTTAAGAAGTTCCTAGAGACTGATATGAATGAAACAGGCATAAGTAATTATAATTCAGTTTTCAAAGTCAGCAATATTTAACCAGTGGATTTTTGTAGTCCGAGATGTACCCCCTAAAGATGATTTGCTACATTATAACTCTGCAATGCTTACATACTAAGGAAGTTCTCTACTGCTATAATTTACATGAACAATCGAAATAGTCGAAGAAATGCATTTTCTTATCCAATATGAGCATCTGAAGCAATCTGCTTTCCTTAAATATCTTCTTTATTTCATTGTTGAGTTAAAAGCTACCTTGGTATAATTCATTCAGCCAACTTAACTAACATTTATTATTTTATTGTTCCTTATATCTTTTATTTAAGTTATATTTATTTGTTTTTTTGCCAAATTAGGTCAGGCACTATATAATCAGATTTTGTTTTATATGAAAAAACACATTGAATGCAGTCCAGTTTCAAATAGATAGAAATAAACACATTAGGTAGCAGCTACAATCTTCATATATCAAGTAACTTTAGAAATTCTAAATGACCAAAACCTCTACATTACAAATATAGTTTATAAAATTCATACTTTAAATAAAATCAAGTCACAACTACTAAACTAATTTGTTTTCCAAAGACTTTAAAATCTATTATTAATTTATTATGAGTTTATTATGGATAAAGTTAGGTTACCTCAGTATTAGGAAATATTAAGCTTATAAAAATTTTATTTGCTTTGACAATTTATAAACCTAATCATTAATTAGGTTTATGGCTTCAAATCCCTTCTCTCAAGCCTTTGTTCTCTTTCCTTTTGTTTTCTCTCAGAATTCCAGGTAACATGAGTTTCTGCTCATAGCAAATACACTGTGTTTTCCTGCTACAAACAAACATCACTTGAATTAATTATATTTTCCTCTAGTGAGGAACAGACATTAGAAACTGATTATATTGAATTTCCTATTGGGATTTCTGCCTGTTCTTTATTAGCTATTGTCTGATTCATTTAGTTTTTTGCACACTGATACTTAGAGAAGACTCTCCTTACCCAGAATGTTCGGAGAAGGATTTTAGAAAGGAAAAAAAAAATTATGTTGTTCTAGGTCCTATTGCAAAATTGCAAAGTACAAATCAAAGTATCAAACTATGTTTGAATAAATGGAGGCTGCCTTTTGTTTAGAGATCTCAAACTGAAAAGTTTTATTCTACAGGAAACCAAAAGCTTATAAAATGAAGGCCAGCCATTGAACCATGATACCCCAGTACACTGCTGAATTGATGTGGTCACTAAACTCTTTGAAGCTTAGGAATTCAGACTTAGACTTTGCTCCTTTTAAAAAGCTTTGGGTGTACCTATATAAACAGAAGGCTCTGATTCAGGGAGGGAGGAATTTCTTTATTTTATGTGAACAGAACACTTGTGACCTCAAAATGACCTCAACAGTTTGACTTCTTTCCTCCAAATACATGGATTCTTGCTGCCGGATATGAGACAGGAAATCCAAATCAGAGATGTGTTGAATTTAGGTGTCAGGCTACTTCAGTGAAAGATAGATTGGGAACACACAGCTCAAAACCAGAGTATTTATATTGACATGTAGGATGGTCCTTATTTTAGAAAAATATGCTCCAATCTTCCCCCTCATTTCACATGACTCAGCAGGGATTGCTCTTGTCTGCAACACCAAAAGAGAAAGTTGACTCTGACCCAGCTTCTAACATTAGCTTGTAAACTCAAGTCTTATTACTTGCTCAGGAATTCCTTATTCCGAAAATGGATGCTGGGCTGGATATGTAGTGAACTAGCACAAAAATGGGTATAAACAGAGAAAAGAACAATATACTGAACCAAATAACCTTCCATAGACTTAAAAAATATTAAGTTGACAAAAAATGCACAGATTATGAATTCATATCAGGTTACTAAGATATGAATGGCATTTAATTCATGTAACACACATTTCTATAGCACCTTCTACAGGGAGAAAAGAAGCACTATTCTCAGTGCTGCTATCAGTCCATGTTACACATGAAGATGCTGACAGTGACTTGCTCAAAGTAGGTGGGAGAGGCAGCCATGGAATCAAGCAGGGTGGCTCCGAAGTCAATACAGAACATGGCTTCTGGAATATTCTATTTCTAATTTTTTAAGGATGGAACTAGTCTTTTCTAAACAAGCCTGATTTTTCTTCACAGGTTAGTATAGATAAATTACCTGTGACCTTCCCTTCCACTTCACTCATTTTCATTTTTTTTCCTGAAAAGATTAAAATTAAAAACATCCTTTCAAAGAAAAGAAAGAAAATTTCAGGACGTCTTTTAGACTTACAGGAATCATTTAGGAGTTAAAGTGGATTATAAAACAGATTTGACAAGCATAATACGCAACACTTACTCTGGAAAAAGGGAAGACCAGCCAGAAGCAAAACCAGGGTCTCGGCTAAACCACAATAGGGCCATTACAATGAAGAGGATCAAGGTCACAATTTCTGGATACCTGTGAGAAAATTACAATTCTTTTATTTCCAACAAATTCTTTTGTTTAGTTCCGACATTTGTCAGAACTCCCTGAGCTCTTGTCAGGAGTATTTGTCGCCGAACACTAAACACTGTCAAAATTGGATGTGTCAATCATTTGAGAGCTTCAGTGTAGTTAGCCAAGGCCTGGATGCCTCCGTGGGTCTTTGCTATTCAACTGGGTAAATTCTCGTCAATCAAATATGTACTTTGTCATGTTGAGTTATACTCAGAAAGGTTATCACACTCGGATCCCTATCATGTATGATAAATACATTACAGATAACTACACACTTATTTGCCTTTAGAGAAGTAAAGCACAATCAGAGAGAGAGAGAGAGAGAGTGAGAGAGAGAGAGAGAGAGAGAGAGAGAGTGTGTGTGTGTGTGTGTGTGTGTATACCTTACCTCATTGGCCCAAGTTTTTGGTATTCTTGTTTAATCACTTCAGCACAAGCTTTTTGTCTGACTGTTTTGGTCTTGCCACAGCTGAACATCTCCTTAAAACTGAAAAGAAAAATTAGACCTGTTAAGAGAAGGAGTGTCCCTTAACAGGTATTTCTGGGAGAGCATCATAAAAGAGCAATATTTCTGCTAATGACAGAAAGCTGTGTTTTTTTACCTTCCCTCCAATCCTTCTTGGAATGTCCTCTCCCCTCTTTTCTATTTTTTGCTCAATTTTTAATACTTTATTTTTGTGCCCTATTTCCCAGGATACCTTTCACTGGTCTCTTCCCTTCCCAAGGCCTTTTGCTCCATTGAAATTTTGCCATGTGCCACATATCTCTAATTCAACCCTTTGTTATATACCTGATTGCTATATATTTTATATATAAATATTTAAAAATATTTTTATATATTTGTGTATACCTTGATTGTTGATTGTTGTATTCACACATCTTATCTCAGTAGTGACATAAATTATTTGGGCACAGAAGTGTCATAAATGTCATCTTTGTCCATTATCTCTACACACAGGTATTCTCAGTAAATACTTGGTTTATCGACTCAGTAGTACCCTTGTCAAACTTAAGAGTGGTTATCACATCATTTTTTATTTGAGTTTACTAAACTTGATTTATATATTAGGTTAGGGAAGTCACATAACTAGCACAGACAGAATCCAAATGAGGTCTATTCTCAGAACTAAATTCTGCTCTTTACATCTTAAAAAAAGTTTCTTTTTCCCTTATATTCTACTAGCATCCACTAGATAACTTTCCAATGTATTTCTAGTCCCAATATTTAGTCCCTGTATCTCCAGAAGTCTAAGGTCCTTGATCAGTGTTTGTAAAGCTCCATTCTGGACTTAGATCCCACTAAAGGAAGAAACAAATGAAAACACCTAGATTCTTATGGATTATCTCTTGGAATGACTACGAGTAGTTCAGTTAGTTTACTTTTTTATGCAAATATAAAAAGTACTTCTGAATATATATATCCAAAGGTATGAAAATTTGTATCTCAAAGATGTATCTGCACCCCCATGTTTACTGCAGCGTTATTCATAATAGTCAAGATATGGAAACAGTCCAAATGTCCATCCGGAGACTACATTCTATAACATGGATGGACCAGTGGGCATTATGCTAAGTGAAATAAACCAGACTTGGAAAAACAAATACTGCATGATTTTACATATATGTCAAATCCAAAAAAAGTCAAACACACCGAAGCAGAGAGTACGCAGGGGTGCCAGGGGTTTAGGGAGTGGAAAGAGGAAGGTGTTGACCAAGGAGGGCAATAAAATAGGCCCTATGGTGAACAATACTACATTATATATATATATATATATATATATATATATATATATATATATAATTCAAAATTTGTTAAGAGGCTAGATCTTATGGTAAGTACTTTCACCACAAAAGAAAAAAATTAAGCAAAGGGAAAGGGAAGATACTGTTGGAGGTGATGGAAATGTTTATGGCATTCAAATTGATGGTTTTGTGGGTGTACCAACATCACATACATCAAGTTTTGTGTACATTAAATACCTACAACTTTTTGCATGTTAGTCATACCTCAATAAAACAGATAAAGGAAGAGAGAAAGAGAGAGGTTGGGGGGGGAGAAAAAAGAGAGAGAGAGAGAGAGAGAGGCATTTCCTTTCTGCAAAAGCACTGGTGTAAAAAGAGACATTTATGAGGGAGCCGGCAGGAGGAATGAGGTGACATGAGAATAGCTATCACACAAAGATAAGCATGTTACTTATTTTTCTGTAACTGATAGCCAGATTTGTTTAGATTGTTATTCCCTGGGCCTCCCCTGGTGGTGTAGGTGGTTGAGCGCAGTGCTGTGAAGCTGTTCACAACCTCTGCAGCGCCGGTTAGATTCCCATGCACTGGCGAGAATCCCACATGGCAAGGCAGACCTCTCCTGCCTCACTCGCTGCTCCCCTCAGCAGTGTATTTCAGTCAGTCTGCCTGTTCTGTTCCCCACTTTGTCTCTGGTGAATCCTCTCACCCTCCATGCATCTGGCCTGTGCCCAGTTCTTGTATGCATGAATAAATAAATCTTAAAAAAAAATTGTTATTCTCTAAAGGAACAGAGTTTTCTCAATTCTTAAATCATCCTTCCTACACCTTCATAATCACTTTTCTGTATATAACCTGACCCCCGGACATAATTAGATAAATGTTGTTGCATTTAAGACCAATGAGGTAATATTAAATTTTATAGTCTTGGTTAAATTACTAACTAGTGGTAGTCTCAGAATTTTACCCTACACTATATAATAGATATTTACATATATATAATAAACAAAATATAATCGTACCAATGGACCCTTGAGAAACATCTCTAGAATAGGAAATAGAATTAAAAAAGGAGATGAGACTTCTTAGAAACTGTTTCCCACACAGTAGGAATAAATATTTTGTCACTTTGGCTGGGAACAATAAATAGTTAAAGTCAAAAGCCGAATTGGCTTTGCTACAAATGAAGGTTAATGCCTTCACAAAGGAACTGACAAAGCATATGACAATGCATCAACCTCTCCATTTAAATGTGTTTGGTGGCAATGATCGATGAGCTTCTCTTCCCAGGTAGGTTGGGGTCATTTATAATGGGTGAGTTAACTGTGTTAACAGCTAACACACTAATCAGAATGTATGGTAGCCTGCCAAAGGAGTGGCTGATAATTTCTGTTTGTCAATCTAAAACCTCCGGAGGTGAACACCCTGGCAGAACTGAAAAGGACACTGAAAAATTAGCTGGAGCATGAAGCTGTGCGGTGTCTAACCAAAAGTGGACAGCAAGGGAATGCTTGAACATGGCATTGATCATGATTGATAGACTTTGTCTAAGGAGTGCACTTCATAGGACTTTTCTTTTCATAGAGAACACATTTCAATAAAATTTCCCTTTATCTTATAAATTTCTCCTTTACACCTGGTGGGCATTTCAAAATAATGACAATGGTTGCAATCATATTTTATAAAGTCATTATATAGAGCAAAAAACCACAAAACAGGGGTGTGTGTGTGGGCGTGTGTCTGGATACCTGTCTCTGTTGCTTGGGGTTCCTATCCCCTGCATCCTGAATTGCTACCTGTACAATTGACTAGACCCCCAAAGGCTTGGATTTACAGCAAGGGGCATTTAGTATGCAGCTGGCCTCTCCCCTCTGATGCCCACCTGCTGAAATCAGTGACATTCCACACATTTGCTTCAGCAGGAGGACTGTCACACGCTGCTCCGCAATCTGGACAAATAGTTGTGTTTTTTTTAAATCATCAGTACCATCTCCCTACTACTGATAAAATTGCAGCAGCTCTGGAGAAAAACTAGAAAGAGGAATGGGGCAGGAAGATTATCAGTCCTTGCATGATTAAGTTTAAAAAATTTGGAAACAGGCATGGAACAACACTTGATTGTAGGGTTTTGCTTTTCAAAAGAAGTAGAAGAGCTAACTTCAGTTTCAGTGGCTTGGTGGATAAGATGCTGTTTCTAGTCACAGTCCTTGACATTATTTAACTAAAATGAATTTGAATTGTTTTGTTTCTCAAGTAAAAGATCCTCAAAATTTAATACAAGGTATTCTCCCTTTGGGGGAGTTTTGTTGTATGTGTTGGTGGATATACATGCTACATTTCAGGTTTTGCTAAGGAGCAAATAATTTTTATAATTTTAAAAGCTGGCTATCACTTGTCATGGAATTCATTGATACTTATGACAAACAACTTTAGTTCCAGCCAAGGTAATAGTTGCAACTTCTCTTTGAATATGTATATAGCAATTATATATATAGAAATTCAGGATGCTATATATATACATATATATGGAATATATAGCAATATGTAGCAATATATATAGCATATATATTGGGGACTGAACTCAGGCTGTACTGAGGATAGTGCAGACTTAACTCCTAGGCTACCAGGGAGGCCACTTAGTGACTCTTTATTGATGAGCAATTCTTACCTGGACATCCATATGGTCAACTCCTACGTGTTCAACTTTTTTTTTTTTTTTAAAGATTTATTTATTTATTTATACAAGCACTGGGTACAGTCAGAAGCGCAGGAGGGTGAGAGAATTCACCAGAGCCAGAGCGGGGAACAGAGCAGGCAGAAGGACCGAAGTACACTGCTGAGGGGAGCAGCGGGCGGCAGGAGAGGTCTACGCGCCATGTGGGACCCTCCTCTGGTGGCCGGGGAGCAGCCGGGGA